CCTGTCCACTGCGAACCATTTACTAAGGTAAGCAAATAGCAGCATTCTTATTCGCGATAGACTTCCGCTTGGATTTCGGCCCAATGCACAAAGGATACGTTTGAAGCATCTTGATCATCCTGGGATGAAGTGAAGATAAGTAACATTCAAAAGTGACGTTACTCCGACAACCGCACGCATGTCCAGGCCCACCGCTAGAAGTTGACCAAATTTNAAACACCCTGCTCATTCTGGGCTATTCTTTATAGTCGGTCTACTTCAACCCTAAATTTGATCGGACGATGCATCGTTTACGAGCGTTCAAAAAGAATCTTGTAATTCTGTGGGAGATGTGGGGTTTTCGGGCGAAAATAATTCCAAGTCGCATAGGGACACGAAAGTGCAGCGATTTTGATGAACCATGTCACCCGCATTCACTAGCCTGCCCCTGGAACATCTATCTCATTTCTGTCTGTGTTACAATCAGGGTGTAGATGCACACGTGCGTCCAAATGTTGGGCGCATGTGTTTGTGCACCAAAGTTGGGCTCAAGTAGCACAACAGTTTATGGTGATGGTTTGATATTTTTAACTGCTGATTGTATCTGTGATGGTGAAACCGAGATTTTGGCTAAGACCATTTGAGAATCTGACTATTCTCTGGTTCGAGGAATACTGGTGTATTTAAGCTCATGAAATGTGATATGCTTATTGTTAACCACTGATATGAGTATTTGGATTTTTATTTAGCCAAACTGAGTTTTATTCTGGATAATTATCCTGATGGATTTGGTTGGCGGACTATCGCAATTAAGTGACGCTTTGTGATACTTCACCGAGGAAAGTTTTGAGCCGAAAGTTAAAAAATTTCTGCATACAAAGAGGTAGAAGTGAGTTTAAGCAAAGCTGCTGAACGATGCGCATATATTAGAAAGGTATCTGAAACCTGTTTCAAAGTTGTATAGATCTATGCAATCGAATAATCCACGGTTGTAACCTTGTTTTATTGCTCCACACAACATGGTTGTGCAATTTGATGCATGTAATACATTGCCCACTCGTTCGATGATAGTCGGTTATCCAAAAACAGTCATCGGTCTTTGATTTCTCGAACAACTCGTTCTGAACCGCGAAAGTTAATTTATTATTTTAAATATGATTACAAAGCGGTTTCTTTGCAGACCTCCACATATCTTTCGTTGTAGCTTTTCACTTGTCACCGACGTACAAATCCTGTCAGAGAAGTGGGGATTTGTACCGTATATAAGTTTAAGTCACCTGAATACGGCTCAGAAACATCAAGCGGCCTATTATGTTTCAGTGAACACAACTCTGGGCTGTTAGATAAATCTTGGAGTTATTTTTTTTTCTGGTGAACAACATTTTATGGAAGGCAGAATCAAACAAATCAAACAAACTCAGAAACGAAATATTTTGATTTTAATTTCTAATAGCCCTGAAGGATTAATCTAATTTTGTGGAAGAACAACTGGTGATTCTCAAAAGGAACGCTGACCTCATCACCACAATGCTGAATGACTTTAATGTATGGGATTGGGATTGGGGTGATGCTAGTTTATCATGGAAAAAACCACCGGCCCTCCGTAGTTCTTATTGTGAATGTTACAATGTTAATAGTAATAAAATTCTTGCTGCCAGTGATGTTTTACTAACAAGATATCATCTACAACTTGAATGACTTCGGAAATTCTCTTTGGGTCCATGGTTTTTGCGCAAGGCTACCATAAATGTGCAGGCCCCATCAGTGCAGTCAATGTGTTGAGATATTTGTATCAATGATTCACCCACTCGCTGTCCCTGATTCGATCCTCAATGTAAACATTTCGGGTTTGTTAGCTATGTTAGTCTATGCGAATGAAAGCATCCTCGGTGCTCACCATCTAATGAGGTATATTACCCTCAATGAAGAATAAATTGTCGCATTCGGGATGATCCGAAATTTTAATACATCTTAAAGCGATATTTTCCAGTTTTGATTAATTAAAATGGTTGCATTTGTTCCTGGGGAGACTTTTTTATTGTTTGATTAAGGGTGAGCTTGAGCATCTTGAATCATCCTGGGTGATCATCCGGAATAGAAGTTGGCTGTGTCAAATCAGATTCGCAGACCATGCACAAAACCAAAACGATGCGTAAACCAGACCCATACACGATTTCATCAGTCTGTTCACATTGGTTCGCAAAAGATTAAAGAAAAATAGAGATGCAGTAGAAGTGTTTCACGTACTTCAGTGATCTTTTCAATTCCCCTCTAGCTGCAGACTGGAACATAAAACGCAAATGTGTTTTTCATCATGCCAGGTTTTCAAACGTACAGGTTACATATCAGGTTTTGATTCGATGAAACATGTGTTACTGCTCAGACTAGCGAATGGCCAGACTCTGGGGGAGGAAACTCCACATAGGTTGTGTCAAAGGAATTTTCTCGTGGCAGTGAAATTCTTCCTCCACACAATAATGTAAGCCAGAAGCTATTTGGACCAACTTAGGATCATCTTTGAGATTCCAGGCTAGTCGCAGATCATTAGAGCATTAGTAGTGTCTACGCAAAATCTTGAATTTCTGCAGATAATGCTGGATATTCAACAACCCGATTATATGCCACTGCTTGTGGCCATAACAAGTTTCTGATGTCGGCGCCTTCATTGGTTCGATCACGTTCTCGGGTACCAAGAAGTCGGACGTTCGTGATCCAATGTTCACTGGAATCCCTGCACGTAATAGTTATTCCTCTCGGAAGGCCTATCAAAAGCGTGGGTCAGTACCATCGGAATATATATATATATATATGTATATATATATATATATACATAGAGAGAGAGAGGGTTCTGATCAGTTCTGCCGGTCTACGACAATCGTCAGTGGAATAGCAAGTGTATATACCTTTGTGCGATTCGTCTACGAATTGTCAAATATGGTTGATTGTCTACAGCCGGGATTGGTACTATCAATAACATTCTATGTATGACTACGAAAGCTACTGATAGTGTCCATTCACCTAACAAAAATGGTCCGATTTCAATAATAATACCATTAAATTTACTGCTCACCATTTGCTTGGGAAAATTGGTTTCGTTTAGTCAGATCACGTGTATAAGGAGTAGCCCACACCAAACAACGTATCGATCGGGATTAAAAGTAAACATATCTGCTACTGACAGTCTCCTTTATCACAGCAAATCATTCTCGGATAAACGAACAACGGAATATGAGATTAGTACTAATCTACCGCCACTTTAGCTGCATAAAAGTGTAAACTTTTTCAGAAAAAAAGGTAGGATAATTGGATTAAACGCAAAAATCTGTTTCTACCGAAATTCAACATAGCAATGAGTTTCATTTTTCATTTCATTTGAACTCTTGAACTATGGCATACTACTGCCCATAGTGCGCTGAATGCCTATGAATGTTTTTATACATCGATGTCAATTATTAAGTCATCACAATTTGGTCTTCTTTGAAAAAATATTTTTAACCTGAGAAATAAATGTGTCGTGTTACACGGTGCAATCATTTGTTAACACCGAAAGTGCTATATGCATTACAAAGATTCACAAAATATCACAGTCTTCTTAACTCTTCAAAGGAGCTATTTTATCCTCTGTTGTCTGAGGTTTATCACGTTCAGTTTTCAAAAATACACTTTTTTTATAATCCCTGTAGGAATCAACGTCTACATTCGACCAATAGAGCTGATCATTTTGTTGATTCGGTCCGGTCCGATGAATCACCGGGCATGTATGCTGCCTTATCCCTCTTTCTGTCCATCGATCTGCCCCGTGTTGTGCGACAAATGAATCTTGGTACAGAGAGTTTGGTAACTGTTCAACCACCCCATTGCAACTGGCTAATAAACGGGATTGAGTTATTTGAGACCGACGAGCTATGGGATCTTTTGTCGGCTCTTTTGGATGCCGGGGGGGATGGAAAGACTCCGGGAAAGAAAATTCTTCTCGGTAACTTGTTTTGGATGATAATGGCTCGTGTTTTCGTGGATCGGGTGCAATGTAGACTGCCACTTGTGGTTTCCAGTGATAACCAACACGATTAGTGACGTAACCAGGTTCAGGAAGTTTCACCCAGGTGTGATAATAATCCCGGTAGTCTGTGCCACCTGTGGACTGAACCGTAGCATTCTGTGATGGAGTTGTTTCATGAATTTGACTTGTTTGATTAAAATCTGAACGGTAAGTGCTGAGTGGCGGGTATCTGACGATAGCGCACGATTTGTCTGTCTCCTTAAGCTTATGCGTTCCTGACTCGTTTATCTGTTTGTTGGCACGCTGAACAGTGGTTTCCAGTCCGTTTATCCCCTCATCGATTGGTTGAAATCGTCGAATTCGGGCTGTAAAATAAATGACAAGGAAATCTTATTACCAAATGACCTTGTGATTTTCTACAATAAAGATTGAATAAGAAATATATCTGTTATTGTTTTAATTGTTTGATTGATCATCTTTGGCGCATAACCTTTTTATCTGGATCACCACAACCTAGAAACCGATTTTGATGAGTGTGAACGTTTTGGGTCATCTCCAGTTTGACCAAAATCCACGTTACATGAGATAAGGTTCCTATTTCATTGTCATCGATTGTGTTGAATTCGACTGGATATCAGGGAATAACATTTTCAGTAGTAACCAAGCTGCGCAATGCTCTCCAGGTAATTGTGTGATGATGGCTTTACCTATCACATACGCTGATAGTAGGATAATTTGCATCCAGGACCTGTTAGTTACTCCTAGTGTTCACCTATGGGTAACTGAGTCTGTGAGTCTCCCCTTTATTTAGCTCCGGATGATCTGAAGTCCCACACTACGAGCTCGTTGTATAGATAACTTGTCAACAAGCACAGTTCATTTGGTTAGCTAGGTCTTATCAAGACACCACATTGACGGTAGGGGGTAGTCCCCGCGTATCTGCGTGTTTGTGCTTACTGGGCAAGGACGTTAGCACAATGCACTTAGGTCCATTGTCAAAACGGTCATCTACACACTCTGGAATCACATTCTGGAGACGAATTCTATTGAAATCTTCATTTGATTAGATGATTTTGAATTTAGCCCCTAAGATACAAAATATGTTTATTTCTTGCTGTCGGATGTAAAATTAATTGAATGTTGTTTTTGTATTATTTCAGATGCATTTTAACAGACAAATAAATAATCACCACTTGGCGGAGCCGTTAAATCTTCCCTGCCATTCTTGTTTTGCTCCTGCCCCTTGGCTTTTTCCATTGCACATCACCGGATTTCCTTTCACATCAATTACTGTGACCTCAAAGATTACCTAAAACATGCTCAGTTCCAATTACTTTCCAGTATCCTTGGAAAATAACAGCGATTCTTCTTGACGTGCTTGTTCTCAGTTTGTGAGCAATAAAGTCAAAAGAATCACTAGCAACACGATTGGCAAACGAAGAAAACATCGTGCTTGCTGTAAAGTGGCACCAGAGCGCAGAAGCATCATTATGTCGTCTACTCAATTCTCTCGAAGTTATCGGACAACTGCATTCCGATTCACAACGAGGAGTACCCCAAGAACTGTGTGGTGCTTTTCCAAGAATCCTGACTACAGGAATCAAACAAGGGCGAATTGATTGGAACCGAGGACTTCAGTTCACAACGTGCAGATAAACCCTCAGGAGAGGGAACAAAATGTGGCGATGTCATTACATTTCTGCCCCAGTTGTTGTGCAACTTCGCCAAAAGTATTTTCCCTCACTGTACACAAAACATTTCATATACTTTGCAATGCAAATCACGTTTTCTCCTGCTCTGCTCTTCGATTTACATTTCAACTATTTACCTATCTCTTGACTGTAATCCTGATGAGTTTTCTATCTTTCTGGATACACTTTATCCGTTTATACTGGAACAGACTGCCACATCTGTTTTCTTCGTTGCTAGTGACTTCAAGAGATCGAATGCGAGTTTCCACACACATATCTATTCTGAACATTTTCAGCTTCTCTCCTAGAAATGATACCGCTTTAGTTCATTTTTTTCCTAATGAGGCATTTTTTCCTCTCAGTAGCTGTTTTTAATCATTATCTGACCAAAGTTTTACCCACGATATACAATCAATACAATAGACTTATCCTTACTAAGAATAACGCACCTGATATTGGTGTACAACAGCATAATGTGCCCACTTTTGTGAAATTAGACTTAATAATTTCCTGTCCGGTATAGAAGTTTTCTTTTCCGTGAATCGCAGGTCATTGAAGCATTCCAGATCNAGCTATTTTCAATATCTTTGTCAACAACTCATAAGTCTGAAAGTCACAGTATTCCAAATGCGTTTGATGTTTACTTTCTTCTGACCTCAAATTGTCCTACCAGGTGCGACAAACATTTCGTAAACTCAAAAAACTGAAGTTTTACATCTCACGCCTTCGAAATATGAGGGTGCCGTTGCATTTAATCTCTATATCTATGTTATGCTCCCTATGTCATTGAACGTACTGTTCCTGTGTTATTTCCTTCGGCTTGTTTGAATATTTCATTTATATTTCATTTATTAGACGCACTTCGCGAATCATCTCTATAGATATGAAATTGATCCTTGGTCGACGCTATCGATCACCAATACCTCAAAGCAAGTGGCCATTTGTGACTCAATCCTGTCTGATGCGTCACACCCACCCTCTCTCTGTTCGCCTCTATTTCAGTCCCCCGCAATACAATTAAACCCTTATAACCTCGCATCACAGCTTTTCACAAATCCGTTGTACCTTAGCTTTTCCGCTTATCGGTTTCCAGGTAACGACTATCAAATTAACTGGGGCACAATTTCAGGCAATTCATGCTGATGTTTCTACTTTTGTTACGCTTTCCCACTCCTCATCATCATTATCTTTTTAATGGATATCATATTATCGATTCCGTTGCGTTTGCATGCACGCCAAAGACAAAATGTTCACGCTATTTTACTGAACACTCTGTTCGCAATGAATGAATAAAGTTCGTTCCTGATCTGACTTGACTAAATTAATCTACTTAAATTCATTGGCAGAATAACGATCCGTGCTCACTAAACCCCTGATATCACCTCCTAAAATGAACTGTGGGTGGATTTCAATTCGCCTTGGGTGCTTGATGTCTCAAGAATGGTCGACCGACTGGAGTTACTGTAATTTTGAACCATCTAAGGTGCCATCGTAAGATGAAATGGTTTCCTTCACACCTCGGCATAGCCGTCCAAGATGATTTGCACATTCATACCAGGGATCAACAGCTAAGGCACCTCTGATTTTAGTTGCCAGGTCAGTGAAACAATCAGACAGCTTAATGGCCCAGAGTCATCACAACAAGTAGGACCTGGGCCTCACGAGCCCCTTCCTGAGTGGTTTGAACTAGGTCCTTTTATTTTGTAAATCACGCTCCAGTTCACTTACGTCGGTCGTAAGTCATAACGCATGCAGTCGATCAACGAATGTATTGATCGGTTCGAGTTAGCAACGGTAACAAAAAATAAATCGATCGAGCACGCAATGGGTCATTTTGACTACATAACTTAAATGAGGGGTAAAAGACATTGGTGCCTGTAGATCAAATACCGTTTATTCGAAATAAACCAAATTTGGTGGAGAAAAAAATGTATCAACTCAGGAAAAGTTATCAAAGATGGTGACTTGGGAGTTCACCTAAAGAAAGTTATGTAAGTTTTAAAGAACAAAGTGGTCAAAATGATCACTTGGTTTTCCTATTGTTAAGTAACCAGTTGAAAATGCTGACCAACCTGAAAGCTCAATCTCCCAATACTAATTTGTGAAATGTGTTATGACAAAACCATTTGATACAGACAAACATCCAAAATGAGTAATATTGCCAACATGTTCTCATCATTTGTTATACATTGGGGCTTATTCAGATTGCCATCTCAGAACAACCATTGTGAAACCGGTGTCACAGACCGATCAAAATTTGCATTGTTCAAACAGGAGTCATGTGACCAGAAGAATACGAACAGTGATTGGTCATTATGGGGTCAGCCAATGATCTAATAATAATAATGAATAATAATAATAATAATGAATAATATTTAATGTCAATGAAAGTCATTGTGATAACCAAGAAAGACCACTGGACAGCTGTTTCGCTCTGTTTGTGACTCGTCAGCAATGTGTACTTCTTGTGTCCTTGTCAGGACTCGGACTTAGAACCTTCGCATTCAAAGATTCCTGGTGTCTGTATAAAATCAAATGGGATAATCCAAACATTTACCTTCCAAATTATTTAATCTTCTCTATTTATCCCAATCAACCAACGGTTACTTCTGTGGCCTTCTTCTCACTTCCTTGTATCGCTAAACTTCAGCAATTAACTTACTACGTTTGCAATTCCTGAAATTACAATTTTCCTGCACTGTCTCTTTGTGTTTTCCCAGTGAGCTTGCTTGGCTTTGTGCACAGGAATATCTGTGTAAATATCCTCATTCCTGAAATCCATTCATTTGATGTCAATTATCCAGTACTCACAAGATCTACGACACTATCTTCCAACACACCAGAGATTGTAATAAAATTGTCCAAAATATACTATCCAATCCATGTTAATCTCTTAATTCCGTCCTTCGTAGTTCCCCACCTCACCCAATCTCCGGTCACCCGGACAGCATTTTTCATGAAAGCATTGACGTAAATCCGTGCATGTTTTCAATAGAATTTCCTCACCCCGATCAATCGGTCGGGCTTTTAGCAGCTGAATATGTTCCTCGGGGTGCAATGTAGCAATTTTCTGCTGGCTGGCTGACCAAGATAAGATCAAAATATCTTAAAGTCTGAATTACGTCGACTAAGGCCATTCGTGAATAGCTCCTAAACGGGTCCCGTAACGCGTAAGCAACCAGGTTATTACTGGATAAACCAAATACTTGTGGTTGTGGAAGACGTGTATTGAAGTACGTAGGCACAGGAAATGGACCGGTTCATGCTAACGAAAATTCGCGTTAAAGCACGAAGTTAACAGTGACCACCGAGGGTTATAATGTGCAAACGGATGAAAAGTGAAAGTCCTCGCGCGGAAGGATGCAGTAGACGGCAATTGTGTAAAACAAATGTCATCGTTCTCTGAGGTAACAATGTGAACATACAGTTGGATTGTTGGAGAAAATTGATGTCCGACAAATGTCGGCTATTGTCCGGATTTACCCGCAATATCACACAGCATGTCTGTCAGCAGCATCCATTCATTTTTCGTTTGAAATGCATCATATTGAACATGCGACATATGAATTTATCATACTGAATAGCATTTCAAAGATATGTTTTCTAATAGTTGTGTACTCTATAGTACTTTTAGTAGTTAGAGATTTAACAATTGCAATTTCGTGGAGGAAATCAGATATCAGATCAGACGATTTCGCTCCAGAAAAGACTCAGTTTTTTTCCTGTTACTTTCTGAAAGAGTGCACTGGTTATTATCTAAATTCATTATGTAGATTACACAACTGAAAAAGCTTTTTTCAGTGAAAACAATTGGTTAGAGCTAAAAGTATTGGGTAATAAATTCAATAATTGCCTTAAAAGGAAAATCTAACGCAATATTGGTCTCATTTTCACAATACTGAGTTGTTTACTCATGAGTAGTTGAAGTTTAAAGATGTTTATCTTAAGCAAACGCCACACGATTCATCTTTTTGATGCAAATAAGTTGGGTTTTTCCAAAGCCTCTCTGGAGAGGGGGAGGGGTTAATACATTACATGTAAAAGTAATTATTCACAATTAGAACGGAGTCCCTGCAACGAATCATGTGTTGTAGGAAACTCTCACGATACAATACACAACCTGATGACCGCGACGGATGAGTAGCGGAACAGTGGCGATGATGGCAAATCCCCACCACAGAGCTATTAGCGCATCACTCTTAGCTTTAGATCCAACTCTGAACAAGTGGTACAAAGAAGAAGCATATTACTGACTAATGATAGACTAAAATCGTGGAAGATAAACCTAAGGCATGCGCGGCGATGAGAATGCAGTGCATATAGTGAAACGCTTGCGTAAGTTGATTTCAATTTTAGTCAATATACTTTTTCCATCCGACCTACTTCTGCATGACACTATTTCTGGGAATGTTACAACGTTTTGTTATGCTAATATCACATACTGTATACCACGTTCCTTCAGTGGAATTTAACGTTGATGGACATTCTAAGATCTGTCAAAACGAAACAAACCAGTAAATTTAAGTTCCTGGTAAAAAATATTACATTTGGGCTCAGCTGGGTATGATAGTGTAGTTCAGGAATAATGGTGTGCTTACATAAACGCTAGTTGTGACTGCGCTACACTAAGCTTCATCTGTCTGCGTTTTTTGTTTTATTATTTGTGAACCATGAGGATCCTATTTTGGATCTGTTACGTAAACAATGTCCTAGAAATGAAAATCCATTAAAAACACCTGCTTGGCTTAATCCAGAATAATGGGTCACAAGCGCTGCTTTGTGATAAATGGGACGCATGATCCCAGCTCAACTGCTCAAAAATCGATGCGAAAGCCATGACTGGTTTGCCAAATGTGTGATTTGACTTTATTGAAGCATCTAGGTGCCAAGGGGGAAGAAATAAGCAGGTTGTAACTGAGACCCATATGCAAGTGATGCTGTCGTATCAGAGTGTTACTGTCAACCAATCAACATTTCAAGGTTCCACAGAGGTCACGTAGTACAGAAAGAAGGAAAGAAAGAATTTCCCACAACTTGGGGAGCCAGGATCAAACAGCGAATTGGACCAAGTCCATAGAACTTTATTCATTCTCAGTTGAATGGAGTGTGATCCGCGAATCTCAAGGGTCATAACTGCTGGGTCAAAAAGGAAGGTGGGAAATACCAAGCCGTATGTATCCAGTTCCCCGATCAGAAAAAAAGGAGGACAGTCTTTGAGTAGCCCCTTGTATAGAACTCAGTATAAGCATGAAAACGGTTTTTTCTCTCTTATTCACCCAGTGATTAACGGCGGGCCTCCCATTGAGTCAAATGTAAGGAATTTAGTCTAAACCTGATGGAGACAACGCTTAGATTGTCGTATTGCACCATGCTGCTGGATTTTACAACGCTATCACCTTCACAGCGTACTGGTCCCACCATTACCATAGAGGAGGTTTCAATAGCTCTGAGTTAACCGGAATTTCACCAGTCACCTAGAACTAATATAGATGATCCGATGATTCCGGAGTTAATAAAAGAAATTATATTGTTGTGTCTCATCTGTTCAATCTATTTTTGACACATGGACGTTTTTCACAGCAATAACTTATAACTGAACGTCAGACCGAAACTGACTCCGAATAATACCGACTTGTGTGGCAGGTTGCCGGATTCCAAAGCTACTTGGTGGGCTGCGGAAATTAGTGACCCAAGTATAACAGTGTTGTGTATGTCAAAACTATCATCGAAACTGATCTCGCGATGCCTTCTCAGCGCTCCCAGTTGAGAGGCAGTCGCAAACAGTGTAAATCTTTATTGATCGCCCAGGAATACTTCCATTGGGTAAGGCAGAAACATGCGGTATTCATAGGGTTGATCACATTCTATTTAGACATTTCCTTGCAATGGAGGGTATCGAGAACACCGATGAAGGGATGGACAAAAAAGACTGTCTGTCAGCCTGACACTCGCGCATCCAGTACCATCGAGAAAACACCAGCACATTCACACGGTGAGGACTGGTTGATTGAACGATTCTAGGAGTTTGCGGGCAGATGAAGTCTAAAGTCGGCTAAAAGAAAAAAACAAGGCATATCATCTACAAGCAGGTGGGTTGTTCAATTCCAGTCAGAAGTATCAAAATCAATAATTTCGTTAAACTCCAGATATATGCATGCATATACCGAATCTCGGACTAATGACGAGGGTTTGAATCATGCAATACTTACCACAGCTTTTACCCAGGAAACTGGTTTTGTAAACAGTCAAACTCTCCAGTGGAACATCCACTGGTGCCGGCTGAATCATGTCTCTGCGGCGAACCATTCCACGGGGCCGCAGCTGACTGGGGGCATAGTGCTCTCGAACTTCAGTGGTCACGTGATAGTCCCCTACCGCTTCATTTGCCTTAAGACTAATAGACGATTCCTGCTGGCTGGGTAATCCTTTCATTCGAGATGCCGAACAGCGTGCCGGATAATAGGTGTAGCTGAAAACGGGTTTGATGAGAAAAGAAAACATATTTATATGCTCGATTGGACTGGAACATTCATGAGCAAAACAAATTAACTAGCATGATGAGTAATCTGTTTGACCGATGAAAAATTCCGCTTGGATGATGCATCGTGTCGGATATGAAATGTTTCGGTGGGGGTGTAGGATAACTAAAATGGGTGCATTGTGCTTTACCCCAGCTCGATCACAAGTTAGACCACAAGTCACAAATCATCCTAATGGATGAAATTTTAGCTCCGTGCGCATCGGGATCATTCAACATCGCATAAAGTCACAAAGAAAAAATGAAATACAGCGTTGTGAATTCAAGAGGAAGGAGGCGTAAAAATGTGAGAATGGATATCATTTATCTAGAAATTTTAAAAATTTTATTCTGACGGCCACTCTCTGTGCCAGTAATCTCGAATGATATGGGATAACGAACAAACGGTAGGTAGTGGTACGAGTATGCACAAGTTTATAACAATACCTGGTTACAGAAGTTATGTATTTGTATTTGGTGAGTGATGTCTGATAGAATATTTCTGCAGAAGTTTTCGTAGGAGGTAAATTATTTGCGGCGATGAAGTTGAGCAATTATAAATAAGGAATACCGTTTGTGCGTTAAATAATTTTAATAAACCAGAGTAGAATTGCATAGTCTTTATCTCTAAGACCGGCAAATAATACTGGGGAACAGTAAGGAAAATGAGTAACAACACAAGAATATGCAAATCGGGTGAGTAAATACAGTGGAACTTTAAACGATCACAAGCGGGAAATAAAAAAACAATAGTAGAACCTTTTTAAAAGTAGAGCTTAAATGTGAAGTTCACGTCAGATCTTAGCAGATAGTAACACCGAGGTATTAAAGAGAACGTACTGGAAAACAGAATAGAATGTCAACATAGAGAACGGGGCAATTTCTTTTAAAATAATGTAGCCGTTTGACTTTGGTTAGGGAGAGAGTGACATCCCTACATTTAGTGGCATTGGCAGATAATTTGGAATGTGAAGATCTTAAGTTTACGCAGATAAACTGCTTTGAAGTTGTAAGAAATGGAAATCACATTTTAATTTGGAACCTATAGTGAAATCATCAGCAAACATGAGAAGATCATCTAGGTCATCTTGAATATGTAGACAGAAAATAAAAATGGGCAATATTACTAACTGGAGCACCCCTAATTGACCGGTTGCAAGTTAGAAGTTTGTCCAAGAAACTTCGTGAAAGGTGTTCTACCAGTAAAATAATCCTTGAGCAGAGAGGGGGCACTGATTGACAGTCCAACATCATGAAGTAAAGACGAAGTCCCGTGCCGGTCGACACAATGAAATGCATCACTGTAGCGGAGGAAACACACATACAAGGTTGTACCATGCCTATCTAGGGATTGCAAAACTGAGTTTACAAAGTGTGCAAGGGCGTCTAAGGTAGAACGCTGTTTGCGAATTGTCGGTGATCCAACTACCCAGTGTTAGGAATAATCTTACCAAGTGTAAACTTTCCAGTTTTTTTCAGTAAGGTGGAAGTTGAGGTTAGTGGTCCGAATTTCCCGGTTTCCTTTTTTGGAAATGGTGTAATGTTCACAGGTTTCTAACAGTCGGCAATTTTTTGCTCCTCGAAGCAAAGATTGAAAATACCGGCAAGTGACTCAGCCAGATAATACGCACATTCC